GGTAGCACGTGCCTGTAATTCTGGCTACTCGGAATGCTGAGGCGGAAGGATCGCCGGAGTTCAGCAGGTCGAGGCTGCAGTGGCCGGGAGCGGCCACTGCACTCCAGTCTGAGCAACAGAGTAAGACTCCAACTCAAAAAATAAAAAAGTTTCCACAGCACTTTTCTTCTAAGTGTTTAAACCTGCCCAATCCTCCCATGTACATTGCTTCTAAAATTTGTAAACTGTAATTGAACCAAATTTTAAATTTACTTTTTAGTATAAAAATAATACATTCCTATTATGAAAAATGTCCAAAAAATTAAAAGACAAGGAAAAACTCATTTGTAATTCTGCCACCAAGACACAACCACTGTCAAATACTTCTGTGTTCTTTCTGTCTTTTTTTATGCATAGGTTTTGTTTGCTTATTTTAAATACTTGTGCCTATTACATATACAATTTTAAATTGTATGTGTAATTTCAATGATATTAACATAAGAACTTTCCCATGTTATTCAAACCTCTTTATCAATATGATTCATACTGGCTGCAAAATTTGAATATACTTTTTAAAAAGACTGTGGGCCGGCATGGTGACTCACACCTGTGAGCATTTTGAGAGGCCAAGGTGGGTGGATTGCTTAAGCCCAGGAGTTTGAGACCAGCCTGGGCAACACAGCAAAACCTTGTCCCTATAAAAAAAATTTTAAAATTAGCCAGGCGTGATGGCATACACCAGTAGTCCCAGCTGTTCAGGAGACTGAGGTGGAAGGATCGCCTGATCCCAGGAGGCTGAGGTGGCTGTGAGTTGTGATCCTTATAATCATGCCACTGCACTCCAGCCTGGGCAATAAAGTGAGACCCCCAACTCAAAAAAATAAAATAGACGGTGGTTTTCCTCACCCTTTCTACCATACTTTGGAATTGTAGACTGATTAAGATACTACCAGGTAATTATTGATCACTGACTTGTGCTGGTCTGGGAGAGGGAGGTTTATAAGGACATCTAAGTCAACCCTTGCCTACTCAGGAGCTTAAGATCCAATGGTGAGCCGGGCTCAGTGGCTCAGCCTGTAATCCCGCGCCTTGGGAGGCTGAGGTGAGTGGATTGCCTGTGCCCGAGGGTTCGAGACCTGCCTGGGCAACTTAGCGAGACCTCATCTCTACAATAAATAAAAAATTAGCCGGGCATGGTAGCGTGCGCCTGTAGTTCCAGCTACTCGGAAGGCTAAGGCGGAAGGATCGCCGGAGCCCAGCAGGTCGAGGCTGCGGTGGCCAGGAGCGGCCACTGCACTCCAGTCTGGGTGCCTGAGTGAGACTCCAACTCAAAAAAAAAAGATCCAATGGTGCAGACATACATAAATACACACATACAGTACATGACCCCACTCCAGCACAGCTGACAGCAGGTCTACAGAAGGTTCTAGATGGCCTGGCTGAGGGGATGGAGCAGACCCCAAGGAGAAGGGGGACTAGCGCCTTGAAGTATATTTCCACTCCCTCTTCCTCTAAGAGGGCATTCGAAGGAGAAAAGCCCATATGAGAAAAGCTTGAAAGGAGGGCCACTCATGAGATGCGACAAGGAGACAGGTAAGATGGGTGGGAAATAAAGCAGGAAGGGAAGAGAAACTATGTGATGTTTAAGGAAGAAAATGTCATCACAAGGTCTATTTTTGAAGAACATTTCTAAGGGGAACATTTGTTCCAAAAAGCCATCTTCCTGGTTTTAAGGAACAACAAAAAAAATCTAATTATTGGCTGAAAACATAGAGCATAGACATGTAATACGTTTTGGTATTATTCATTAAAACTTGATTCCTTCTCCGTAAGGTAACTTGTGCCGCTGCACCGGGTATCGACCAATTGTAGAAAGTGGAAAAACTTTCTGTAAGGTAAGTTTAAAGAAAAAAAATCATTCTGTTGACTTCATATATTAATAAGCTTTCACGTAAAATTGTCTACTACATTTAGTAATCTCTAAAATAGCCCCATGTTGACCTCTCTAGCCACTAAAAGTTGTTAAAAATTTGGTGTTTTTTAAGTGAACTTTTGCATCTATCTTATGTGTAGTCCTACACTTGACACTTTCCCAAGAATATAGTCTATTGTCCAGAACATCAAGAAATGCATACTGTATTAAAGAAAATGAAACATAGAAACAATAAAAGTAAAATTGGCGGGGCATGATGACTCATCCCTGTAATCCCAGCACTTTAGGAGGCTGAGGTAGGAGGATTACCTGAGCCCAGGAGTTCAAGACCAGCCTGGGCAACATGGCAAGACCTCGACTCTATAATAAATAAAAAAATTAGCCAGGAATGGTGGTGCATGCCTATAGTCCCAGCTACTCAGGAGGCTGAGACAGAAGGATCCCCTGAGCCCAGCAGGATGAGGCTGCAGTAGCCGTGAGCATGCCACTACACTCTACCTGGGCAGCAGTCAGACTCTGACTAAAAAAAAAAAAAAATGAGAGAGACAGACAATAAAAGCATAATTGAAAGACAAGATATTAAAAGCTCATATCACACATGGTCTCACTCTGTCACCCAGGCTGGAGTGCAGTGGCACAATCATGGTTCACCACAGCCTCAAACCCCTGGGATCAAACGATCCTCCCTCCTCAGCCTCCTAAGTAGCTGGGACTACAGGTGTGTGCCACCATGCCCAACTCATTTTTTCATTTTTTGTAGAGGTGAGATTCAGGTAAGAAATTAGTGTGACTGAAACACTGGAGAGTGAAAAGAAACTGTTTGGGTCTAGGAATTTAGACTTAATGCTGACATCCAGCATGTAGGCATTGTCTGTTTTCAAGGCAGGAGTAACACAATGACATCAGTATTCCAGAAGAAAAATTCTTGGAACCTGCCAGTAGGGAGGATAAGCCTGGAGAGACATGTTGGGGAGTGAGGGCATGGACTAGTACAGTACCCCATGCATGAAGAATCATGATTCAGTCTGCTGTGGCATATGTAGGGACAGAAAGATGACTTCCTGTCAGAGAATGGACACCAGACAGCAGAGAGTGCAGTGAGAAAGAAATTCAAGTCACCTGCAAAGCTGAGAGACAGAGGCAGGAAACAAGACAAAAGGTGGGAAAAATGATTCGGCGTATGAGGGGGCAGGTAGTTTTGAAATATATTGTTTTCAGAAAGTTAAATGTCAGGAGACGATACAATTTTCAGAAGGTTTCAGTTAGAGTGTTTTTACAACACCCACTTTTTATGGTCAAATTACTTTTATATAACTTTTGTTAAACAAAAACAATTAGGCGTGAACCAGTGCATCCCAAATACTGTGAAGTCCTTGAAAAAAAAATGTATTTTTATGCCAGTAATGAAGAGTTTTAAGAAGTTGTACAAAGTACAGGTTAATTTATTCTAAGTCCTGGGTAAAATACTATTTAGTTTGAGCCATATGAATAGCCAATTTTCCACCATTTTTTACCTACAAACACAGTAATTTCTTTATATGATTCAACCTAATACTATGTGACTACTTTCCTGAAGACAAAAATCTATACGAAGATATAGACAAAAATAGATACTTTTACTCACACATTCCAGGGCCCCACATCCGACACTTAGATTCAGTTCCTTTTTTGTGCCCAACGTTGTCACAAAATCCAAATCCTTTCTCAACTCTGTAGAAAATGACCTTTCAGCCAGGCACAGTGGCTCACGCCTGTAATCCCAGCACTTTGGAAGACTGAGGCAGGAGGATCACTTGAGGTTAGGAGTTTGAGGCCAGCCTGGGCAACAAAGCGAGACCCCGCCTCTGCAGAAATAAGAAAAATAAGTGTGGTGGCATGCACCTGTAGTCCCAACTACTCCAAAGACTGAGGCGGGGGAATGGCCTGAGCCCAGGAATTTGAAGCTGCAGTTAGCTGTGATTGTGCCACTGCACTCCTGCCTGGGTGACAAAGACACCAACTCAAAAAAAGAAAAAAGAAAGCCGGGCTCAGTGGCTCAGCCTGTAATCCCACGCCTTTGGGAGGCTGAGGTGAGTGGATTGCCTGAGCCCACGGGTTCGAGACCCACCTGGGCAGCGAGACCTCATCTCTACAATAAATCAAAAAATCAGCCAGGCGTGGTAGCGCATGCCTGTAATTCCGGCTATTCAGAAGGCTGAGGCGGAAGGATCGCCGAAGCCCAGCAGGCGAGGCTGCAGTGGCCGGCAGTGGCCAGGAGTGGCCACTGCACTCCAGTCTGAGCGACCAAGTGAGACTCCAACTCAAAAAAAAAAAAAGAAAAAGAAAATTACCTTTCAAGTAAACATATCAACTGCAATTTCTGCAGCAGTTATGTGTCAGACACAGGTGTCAAGATTTTCTCATCTTTCTAACAAACATGTGTAGGATGGGTTTTATTATCCTGATTTAAGAAGCTCAACATAGCTCAGATGTGTTAAAGTAGGAACTAGAGCTCAGGTCTCCTTGACTCTGTGCATAAAACGCAGTGTCTCCAAATCACCAAGACCCTGAGGCAGCATGTGTACATTGAACAGGGCAAACAAGAACAGCTTGTGGTTCAGGAACAGTTTGTTGGAGAAAACAACACACAAATGAATCCACGATAAAAAAAAAATTTTTTTTAAAACACTACTTTGGGTCTGCATGAAATCTCCTGAGAATTAAGGTTAAGGGATTTGGGGCTTGAGCCCCAAATATTTCAGGGTGACTCCCAGAACATCCAATGAAACTCAGGTTCTCAGTGTATTTATATCTGTGTATAGAAAGTCTTAAAGTCTTCCCAGCACTTAATTAAAGGTATGCACTGGGTCACTGTTAATATAAAGATGAGCAATATATTTGGGTTTGGGAGAGGGATTTTTGCATTTTTTTTCTTTCTTCTTTCTTCTTCTTCTTTTTTTTTTCTTTTTAGAGATAGAGTCTGCCTATATTGTCCAGTGGCTATTCATGGGCACAATCATGGTTCACTGGAGGCTTAAACGCCTAGGTTCAGGTGATCCCTCCTACCTCAGCCTCCTGGCTAGATGGGACTATAGGCAAGCATCACTGCACCCAGATTTGGGTTTTTGTTTTGTTTTGTTTTGAGCATCGGTTCACTCTGTGGCCCAGGGTGGAATGTAGTGGCATGATCACAGCTCACCACAGCCTCGACCTCCTGTACTCAAGCAATCCTCCCACCTTAGTCTCCCAAGTAGCTGAGACTACAGATGCGTGCCACCGCACCCAGCTAATTTTTTAATTTTTCTTGTAGAGACAAGGTCTCGCTATGTGCCCAGGCTTGTCTCAAACTCCTGGCCTCAAGCAATCCTCTTGCCGCAACCTCCCAAAGTCCTGGGATTACAAGCATGAGCCACCGTGCCTGCCCCCCCTTTTTTATTTCTTATCTTTTGTTTCCTATTTTAGATTTAGGGGGTACATGTGCAGGCTTGTTACATGGGTATATTGCATGATGGTGAGGTTTGGCTTCTACTGAGCCCATTACCCAGATGGTGAACATAGTGTCCAACAGATCATTTTTCAATCCTTCCCCCCATCTCCCACTATAATAGACCCAGTGTCTGTTGTTCTCATCTTTATGTCCCTTTGTACCCAGTGTTTAGCTCTCACTTATAAGTGAGAACATGAGGTATTTGGTTTTCTGTATCTGCATTAACTCACTTAGAATAATGGTCTCCAGCTGCATCCATGTTGCTGCAAAGGACATGATTTCATTCTTTTGTATGGTGTGTGGATTTGTAGTCACCACATGACTCTCCACTGCATGCGCTCACTTGCAGTAGGAAGCCTTAGGCAGCTTGTTACCAGCCCTGCCAAGTATTCAGGCAGGTGTTGAAAGAATCAACCCACAAAAGTGATTTGAAGTGTGTTCCTTCCAAAGGAATCGACCGTTTGTCAAATGAAAGGATCCGGGCAATGTTGCATGGATCAAGAAGAAAGAACTTTTGGGAACAGTCATGAAAAAGTAAGTGTCTGGTTTTTCCACTGACTGGATTTGACTGAGAAATACCTATGTAAATCTAAATGTATTCAGGTTTTCTATCCTTCTCAGGGAATTAAGTGTAAAATACATGAATACAGGGTATAAACAACTTCGTAAAGCTCCCCAAACCAGCAAACCCCTAGCTCCCATAGACTAGTCACCACAGAAGACTGTTTCCTTCTGGAGAACTTTCTGTGCCTTCATTTGGGTTGACCCACTCCTTCCCCAACAAGCACCAAGAGGCCCTGAGCAGGGGAGCATCTTCACGCTCATGGCAAAAAGATACCTACAAATATCTGAGACCTAGCGCAGAAGTTTAAGACCCAATTTCCAGTGCCAAAGGAGGTACATCAGAGTTCAGTCCATCCTTTGGAGGAACTATCCCATAGTCCTATTGTCCTGGGTGGAAGAATTCCATTCAAGGGTGCCCTGTGGCTCTGGTGCCTCCGTTTTGTGTCGGGGGTGTCAGAGGTGAGGCCTTCACTCCAAAGTCTCACACTGAATGATTTCTGAGTCTCACTCAGTAGCTGTGAAGTCACGTTTGTGTTTTGTTCTGTTTTTGTTGAGATGTGCACCAAGCTGTATGATAAAGACGAGTTCCAGCCCTTGGATCCATCCCAGGAGCCTATATTCCCCCCTGAACTGATAGTAAGACACTTTACTCTTATCTCGTGACGTGATGTGGTAGATGCCTTTTTGTATCACACTATGGAGTTATCAGGTTTTAGACATTAAACGTTTGAAGTGTGTCCAACATGACAGTGAAGCAATAACCTATGTGTAGGGACTTGTCCAACTCCACTGTAGATAACTCAAAGCAGACGGCTTAGAAGCATGGCGCTGCCAGGACCTCAGAGATACTTTGATTCAAGCCCCTGTGCTAAAGATCCGGAGATCAGAGTATATGTGGGTGACTTCCCCAAGGCCACACAGTAGCACTGTGCGTTATCTGACAGGCATTTTGTAGTACTGGTGGAGTAAGAATCTGATGATGCTTGGAAAAGTGGAACTACACTGTTCTTACAATTAAACTCTGCAATTTCAGCTCAGCAGGGAGATGGAGAGAGAGAAAATAATATAAATAGCGTGGAAGGGCAAGGCACAGTGGCTCACATCTGTAATCCCAGCACTTTGGGAGGTAGAGGCGAGAGGATTGCCTGAGCCCAAGGGTTCAAAAGCAGCCTAGGCAACTTGGGGAGACCTTGTCTCTACAATAAATCAATAAATTAGCTGGGTGTGGTGGTGAGTGCCTGTAGTTCCAGCTACTTGGAAGGCTGAGGTAGAAGGATTGTAGTTCAAGGCTGTGTAGCTGTGAGTATGCCACTGCACTTCAGCCTAGGCAGCAGAGTGAGACTGACTCAAAAAAAAAAAGTGTAGAACACCTGGTATTCCATCCCATGCCTGTCCCTGGAGATGGCATAAGATGACAGCAATGATTCTGCCAATTTCTCAGGTCTCAGTCCCCCTGCACCCTGCAGAGGTTAAGAACGTGAATACCCCAAGTGTGAGTCTACTATTATAAAATTATAGATATAGCTATTTATATGTCTATATCCATAAAAATATATGTATGTGTGTATAACTACAGAGTAGTAATAAAAATCCATTTATGCTATACCTGGTGAAGAAGATTTTTTCAAGGATAATTTTGCCTATAAGCAATTTTTGTCCAACCAAAAAACCTAATCCCCAAAGATGAGTCTCCTCTGAGTCACTGTTAAGCAGAACTAGAACAAGAAGCCTGGTGCTGAGTTCCAGGCCAAGCCACTCCCTCCACCAGGCTGCAGCTGCTTCACACACTCTCTTCATGAATGGTGTTTACTCCATCTACATCCAGTTGGTGGTGAGCATCTATCATGACATGTATTCAGTGGTGCCCACAGGTCTTTTCAATCTGGGTAGTTCCAAACAGACCACCCCTTCCTGATCCTAAGAGTCAGGACTCCTGAGAAAACTAAAATGACCAACGGGCCACTTGACACCCAGAGCAGTGGACATACACTGGGCTTGTGGTTCAAGAGCCCAACTTGAAAATATGTCGGCTTTGTTCCTCTGCAGAGAATGGCAGAAGATTCAAACAAGAGAAGGCTGACATTCCAAGGCAGGAGGACTACCTGGATCACCCCTGTGACCCTGAGTGACCTTCTGGAGCTGAAAGCCAATTTCCCCAAGGCCCCGCTTGTCATGGGGAACACTGTGGTGGGTAGGTAGTTCACCAAAACACAGTGGCTCTTTTTAAACTGTTCATAAATGAATTCACTTTTAATAATGAAACCTACGGTACTTTAGGATGCTTTGTTGTTTTCTTTTGAAAATGAGTTATTTAAGTCACCATTTGCTCTCTGGCTTATCAGTGACAGCGTCTATGAGCATCTAGTTTTCTAGTTTTTCTAATTACCTTCAGTGCTTTTCCACTCCAGGACCCAGCATCAAATTCAAAGATGAATTCCATCCAGTTTTCATATCTCCACTTGGGCTTCCAGAACTACATTTTATAAACACCACAAGTGATGGTAAGCACCTTCTTTTTCAAATAAGATGTAATTGGCTATTGGTGGGCTGTTCATAATCAGTTATGCCTGTAATCCCAGTACTTTTGAGAGGCCGAAGTGGGAGTACTTGAGGTCAGGAGTTTGAGATCAACCTGGGCAGTATAGCAAGACCTCATCTCTACCAAAAAGTTTTTTTTTTTAAGTAATCAACTACATGCACTGAGTTAATTGAGCACTTCATAGTATATCTCACCTCATTTACTCATTTAGTCATTCAAAGCTATTTATGAGGGGACCCCCAAAAACCTGGAATTATCTTTTGGAGGATGGGCCCCTTGTAGTAAAGGCTTCCCCAGCAAGGTAAGTGTTCTAAGAACCCTTTGGCATCAGTGCATCAGCTAGTGTTGTTGTGAGAGGCTACATTCAGCTTCAGTGAATTTTTTTTCCCTTTGGAGATTCCTTCAGCGTGTTTGCTCATTTCATGAAGGGTGATTTATGAGCATACTTGCCCACACCATGCTGAGTGTTCAGCAGCTTTTGACCAAAAACGGCATGATGCCCACCCTCTTTATTCACCCAATCTCACCCCAAGTGACTGTTTTTTGTTTCCCTTATGAAAAAAGTCCTCAAAGGAAAACATTTTGCTGATGTGGAAGAGGTGAAACAAAAAATGACAGAGGCACTAAAAGGCATCAAAGTAGGCGAGGAGTTCAGACACCATTTTGAGCAGTGGGAAAAGTGTCTCAATAGGTGGATTGCATCAAATGGAGAATATTTTGAAGGTGACTGAAGTTCAAACATGTAAGCGTAAATATACAATTTTTTGATAAATAAATTCCAGGTTTTTGGATCCCCCCCATATTGATCACCTACTAAGTGCCCTCTATGAGCTTTTTCAAACTGACCCACTCAGCTGTGTCACTGAGTAGTGTCATCAGAGCCATGATGGTAGGAAGAGGCCACATAGCTCAGCCAGGTACAGAGGGTTTGACCAAGTAGGAAAACTTCCAACAGTTGCTGGTCAGTAGGAAATGTTCTTGCCTCATGTGAATCCCTTACTCACAAATTTGCTCAAGGCTCATCCCACATCCAACCACAAAAAAAAAAGTCAGGAACACAAGATTTAAAATCTTGTAACTATGAACAACAACCTTATTTATTTTTACACTCTGCACAATTTCCCACATGTTTTCACATCTTTTACTTGATGCTCACAGCAAGCCTGAGTGGTGGATATAGCAAGTAGCCTTGGTATCTCTGTTGTGCAGAAGATACAGAGTCAGAGGGCTTAGGTAACCTCCCCATCATCACACAGCCAGCATATGGCCAGGTCAGGACTGAGTCAAGTCTCCATATTCCTTCCACACGATGCTGAATACAGCATGATCTCACCATTCATGAGCCACACTAAGCCCTTGAATGGGTTACAGGCCATGGGTGCTAAAACTCCTGCAAAGAGGGGTTCTCCTAGTGAATAAACAAAATCAAATGGGTCATCATTTGCTCTCCTCTCTGACCTGCCCACCTTGAGTTAGTCTGCTCATTCACTGTTTTGCCCATCAGAAAGTCTGTATCAACCATCTCGCAGGAAGAGATGGAGCAAGGAGAGGCCAGGCAGGTACAGGAGAAGGCAGGGAGGATAGTGAGGGCGGTATTCTGTGATTTTAGTGATGGAGGTGGAGGCACAGGGACGGGGAGATAGAGCCTTGTGTAGAACCTGATCTGTGTTTCCCAAACTCTTCTTCATCATCTCATCTCTAAGGAGCCATAGACATTGTTCCTATAATCATCCCTCCCTAAATTGTTAATACTACAGATACATCTGTGTCTGATAATGTATACCATATGTATCAGTGCTTTATATATAAAAAGAGAGAGATTTTTTCACTCCCTGTGGGTGGCAACATGGCCCCCTTGCGAACACATGGGGTTAACGGCATCCCTACTCAAGTCACACTCTGCGAGCATACCAGCAAACAAAGCTGGCCCAGAGCTGAGGTCACTTGTCTTCTTATGAATAAGGGAATGTAGGGAAAGATGGCCGAGGAAAAAGAGCCAATGGGCAGTCCTCATTTTGCAGGTCAATTCCCACCCAGGTCTAACAATCTTTAAAATATCTTAGAGGACCAGGGCTGGAATGTTTATATTGGTGTACTCAGAAAAACTAAGTTGGGAATCAAGGAAACAGTGCATTTCAGATATTTGTGGTTGATATGTGCTAAAATGTATGTCATATATGACTGGATCCATGACTGAGAAAAAGGGTTTGGAGCTTACTATTTGGGAATAAAGCAAATTGCCAGAAAGATCTGTAGTTACCTTTGGGTTTTGTCGTTCTAAGTCAATATGAACAGAGAAGATGTATTGAAATGACTGTTTCCACACACTCCTGTCTCCTCACAGTTCCCTTTAAGCTCATGTTACACTATCTCATTTTCAGGTGTGACAGTAGGTGCAGGATACAGCCTGGCCCAGTTGAGCGACGCTTTGCACTTTGTCGTCTCGGATCACCCAGAGGAGAAGACTAAGACCTATCAAGCTCTCTTGAAGCACCTGAGGACACTTGCAGGAGCCCAGATCAGGAACTTGGCTGTATGTCCTCTGTTGTTATGTAAAATAAGTCACAGTTATAGATGCAAAGTGCTGTTCACTTTCACAAACATTACTCTGGAGAGGAATCCCCAGTTGATGTTAAACACATCTGTACAATATGAGTGTGAGTGTATATACATCGTATAGCAAGATTATGATACTAGATATGAGTGTGAGTCTGTGTGTGTGTGTGTGTGTGTGTGTGTGTGTGTGTGTGTCCATCACACAATACAAAAACATTGTATAGGGTTAAATAAAAAGCATTGCATAGATTTAAATAAAAATAAAAAATTATTATTATTGAGTCAAAGCTAAGATAGGAGGATTGCTTGAGTTCAACAGTTTGAACCAGCCTGGACAACATGGCAAGACCTCGTCTCTACAAAAAATTAGCTGGGCATAGTGGCACATACCTGTAGTTCCAGCTACTCAAGAGGCTGAGGAAGGTGAATCCCTTTAGCCCAGGAGTTCAAGACTGAGGTGAGCCATGATCAAGTCACCACACTCTTGCCTGGGTGACAGAGTAAGACCCCAAGTCAAAAAAAAAAACTGACACAAGATCCCTGTAGACATAATTCCTTATTTGTTAAATGTAGCTTTTTAAATGTCATCTTGTTTTATTTAGTCTTTAGGAGGGCATGTGGTGAGCCGGCCTAATTTTTCTGACCTAAACCCCATTTTAGCAGCAGGAAATGCTACTATCAATCTGATATCTAAAGGTAAGAGACCAAGCCTTAAGTATTTTATTTGGTATTTATCATCATCAGTTATGTAGCTCCTGCTGTAAACCATGAACCAGGGACCCCATATCTAATTTAGACTCATAGACTATGTTTACACTACCTCAAATCTAAGGATGAAACTGGGATCAATTATTCTGCCCTCCAGAGTGTCTATGTCTCATAGGTCAGATACTTTATTTCACCTGGCAATTTTTCTTAAATATTTGGGTACTCTTATGAGAAGTCCAAATTATAGGATCAAAGCAGTTGAAGAAAAAAATTAATGAGAAATGTCTCCGTGGTTTTAAAGGTTTATGGCATATTTTATTGCAGGGTTTCATAAAGATGGAAATTTTTTATAGGATTTTTTAAAACAAAATCAAGTTTGTGGGGCATATTATTTATTACTTCTCTCATTATTTAAAGACCCTATGAGCTTTGCGTAGGGAAAATGATTTAAACTTAAAGAAATAAAAACAAATACATAGTATTCATAGGGCTATTGATATAAGAGATCTTCTCCTTGAGGAAAATTACATTTTTAAAAAACATTGTGATTCAAGTAAGAGAGTACGGTAAACTATTTAAGAAATATATATATATATATACACACACACACAGAAAGTGCCAAAAACAGAGTGCACATTTTAAGAAAGGAAAAAAACTGTATTAAAGCTATACCACTCAAAGATGAGCATAAGTCACATTTGATTTCTGCAATTACAAGAGGTACTCAAAGTGGTTACCATCAGCATCCAGAAACTTCTGATTATGGCAAACGTCTCTTAACATGTGTACACATTTTTCTGGCACCTCCCTATACACATGCGTACATGTATAATCATGGACTGTATAACATTTGAGTCCATTTCAGACCACATATACAATGGCGATCCTATAAGATTCTAATACATATATTTGTTGTACCTTTTCTATGTTTAGATACACAAATACTTAGCAACTGCCTGCAGGATTCAGTATAGGAACATGCTCTACAGGTTTATAGCAAGGAGAAATAGGCTGTGCCATACAGCCTAGATGTGTAACAGGCTGGTTTGTGTGAGTACACCCTGTGATGTTTGTACAACCACAAAACTACCTAATGACACCATTTCTCAGAACATGTCCCTGTTGTTAAGTGGCATATGACAATCGGGAATCCCATCCTTGCCACTAATCCTACCTCTAGTACTTTGAAAAGGTCACTTAACCTTTCTGGACCTCAGTTTTCCCATTTGTGAAATATAGACATTGTACTAGGTTGTTTCCAAATAGCTTTAAAGTTCTTATAAAACTTAAAAAAAAAAAAAAAGACTTTTCTGCTGATCTGACCCAGCCCTGCCCTTCTGCAGCTGAGGACCCAAAAGCTTCTATGACTTGCCTAAGGAGACACAACCTAGTGCTAGAACCATGTCTTCTGGCTCCCAGCCTGTACCTCTTTCCACCACATCTCACGTCTGTTCCTGGCTGCATATTCTCCAGTTTGATAGGCTCATCCTAATCCAGGTCGTTTTCTCATTTTCTCTTATAGAAGGACAGCGGCAGATTCCTCTGAATGGCCCTTTCCTTGAGGAATCTCCTGAGGCCAACCTGAAACCTGAAGAGATTGTGCTGTCTGTTAATATTCCCTACTCTACTCAGGTGATGGCTCCCAACTCCCTGCCTGGCCCAAGGGAAGCCCCGCTGGTGGGTGCAGCGAGCCCACAGACAGGCTTCCAGGGGAATGGCATCCTCTCCAATTCTTTTTTTTTAAAATATTTTAAAGTGGTTTATTCTGAGTCAGTATCAGTGACCATGACCCAGGGAACAGTCCCAAGAGGTCCTGAGAAAGTATGCCCAAGACCGTCAGGTTACAGTTCAGTTTTTTACATTTCAGGGAGATGAGAATGACAGGCAAAGATATAATCAATTCATGGAAGGTACATACTGGTTTGGCCCAGAAGAGGCAGGTATCCTTTCTATCTCCACCAACTGCTCTTTTGGGTCTGCTGCACAAGGAGGGACAAATTCCCAAGTGATAATTTGATTGCTTTCATATCAGGGTGGCCTCTGTGGGCCCTGGACACTTTTGCTTTTGAGAATCCCTTCCTCTATAAAAAATAAAAGAGATATATATATGATTGTGGCGATATGATGAATATAATACCAGCTGCATTCAGTATTCTAGCTTCATTATTATTATAATATTCAATTTTTATTTTTATTTTAAAAAGAAATTAAAATTAAAACATTTCCACAGGCCCCTAAAAGTATCCTGGGCCCTATGTCTGCAGCTAAAGGATACATCAGCCCTGCAAAAGGAGAATCTTTCATGTGAACTGGATTTTTTATTTCAGATAAGTTTGCATCTTAGCCAAGATTGACTATATCTAGTTAACATCATTTACGGCAAGTTACTGGTAAACAAAGTTTGTTAGCGTAAAGATACTTCCAAGTCAACCAACATTTATTGATCAAATAGTTTAAATAAAATTATTTATGTATTAATCCCCTACGATCTATATCCCAGACACTATGCTAAACCCAGAAGACACTGCAGGGGGTTATAAGGCATGGTTGTGGTCCAATCCTTGAAGGTCTATAAATCTAACAGGAAGAGTTTGAAATAGGAAATAACTAATCATCTCAGACAGGAAACGAGTGGACAAAGAGCCGATAAGAGGCTGTGGTGATGGGAAGAGAGGAGGAAGGGCAGTTGGGGTCAAGCATAGAAGTCTTTGAATCACTGGAGAGAAGGGGGTGGTCATTCCAAGTAGGACAACATGAGGGTGGGGGGATGGCAGGTTGAGAGACCAGGGAGTGGGAGAGGAGGCTGGGAAAAAGCCTGGGCTCCATCACCAAACACATCCGTTACTCCTGCAAGGACTTGGTACGTACAAGGGCGGGACCCAAAATAAGCGGAATGTATTTTTTTTTAATTTGTGTATTTATTCTTACATCTTTAAACTTCAGTCATCTTCAAAGTACTCTCCACTTGATGAAATACACCTGTTGAGATGCTTTTTTCACTGCTCAAAACAGTTTTTGAACTCATCTATTTTGATGCCATTTAGTGTTTCTGCTGTTTTTTGTTTCACCGCTTCCACATCGGCAAAACATTTCCCTTTGAGGACTTTTTTCATCCAGGGAAACAAACAAACAAAAAATGTCACTCAGGTCGAGATTGAGTAAATAGGCATGGGGGTCATGCTGTTTTGGGCCAAAAACTACCGAACACTCAGCTCAGTGTGGGCAGGTGCATTGTCACAGTGGAAGAATGAGTTACCTGTTTGCCACAACTCAGACATTTCTTCTGCAAATTGTGATGCAACCTTCTCAAAACTTCCAGATAAAAACCTACGGGTTCATAACACTTACCTGTTGGGGGAAGCCTGTACTGCAAGGGGCTTACCCTCCAAAAGATAATTCGTTGTGGAGGGCCTCCTCTCATAGTCTAACAGACAGCCATCTTTGAAGCCTTTGAAGCAAAGTAAGATTTAAATGAAAGTGGTGGACAAATTGGTGGGGTAGAGACTGAAGGTTGAACAGCCAATTAGGAGGCCAATGCAATAATTCAGGCAGAAGAGGGTGATGAGGGTGGTGGCAGCAAGATGGGCAGCCAGCCCCCACAAGTCCGCACAGCCGAGCAAATGTATCCATGTGTCTCCAACACATCTCTGTCTCAGTGTTTTCTTTTTTTCTTTTTATCTTAGTGTTTTCTATATTGCAAATGCTTTTTCCTTGGCAGGGTCCATGGCGGTAGGATTTCCTCTCTCCCCACTCTCACATAAAGAGGGTTTCCCATGTCACGACTCTCATGTTCCACACTAGTCATGGCATTGAACCTGGAATGACAGGTTTACACCTAGAAAGACCTTTGGAGACCATGGGGTCCAGTGGTCTTCAGGCTTTTTCTTTTTCATTTTTTTGTTAACAGAACTCTTTATCCAAATGAAATTTACATAGAACACCGAACTAAAACAGGCCACGGTGAGGTTGTGGTCATCCCATCTGACGCACATCCAGTCCTGATTCTCTCCCCTCCCACCCAGCAGCCCCTAAGGCACCATCTGATCAAATCCAACTTCGTTTTAAAGAAAAATAAGACCCAACAGTTTAAATCTCTTGCCCGAGGCCATATGTGAGATTCTGATTGAAAGGCACAGAGCTAGGCAGATAAGTACAGACTCTGGAGCCAGACTGCTCCAGGTTGAACCCCAACTCTGCCACTTACTGTGTGACCCTCTGCAAGTTACTTACCCTCTCAGTTTCCTCATCATAAACTGAAAATGAGTAGAGTTGTTGTGAGGATGATGTATGAGAACATATAGGATGGTGCTCACACACAACACCTCAGTCAATAACTGTGACTATGTGATAACTGACATCATTCACAGGATCCTTTTCATTATAAATAATTGTAAAAGTCATTGCTATACAGGCCGGGTGCAGTGGCTCATGCGTGTAATCCCAGCGCTTTGGGAGGCCAAGGCTGGAGGATTGCTTGAGCCCAGAAATTTGAGACCAGCCTGAGCAAAACAGTGAGACCACGACTCTACCAAAAAAAAAAATTAAAAATTAGCCAGATGTGGTGATGTGGACCTGTAGTCCCAGCTATCTGGGAGTCTGAGATGAGGAGATCACCTAAGCCCAGGAAGTCAAGGCTGTGGTGAGTCGTGATCATGCCACAGCACCCCTGCCTGGGTGACAGAGTGAGACCCTCAATTAAAAAAAAAAAAAAAAAGGCTTTGCTGAAGGGGAGACAGTGGAGATAATATCTCTGTGTTCTGAGCTTTCTTCTCTTTCCAGTGGCACTTTGTGTCAGGACTGAGGCTGGCCCAGCGTCAGGAGAACGCCTTTGCCATCGTCAATGCTGGGATGAGTGTGACATTCAAAGACGGCACCAACACAATCAAGGAGCTTCAAATGTTCTATGGGAGTGTTGGCCCAACGGTTGTCTCTGCAAGCCAGACCTGCAAGCAGCTCATTGGGCGGTAGGTCACACTGGATGTCAACTCAGACTTTGCTATGTTTAATGTTTTTAATGAAAATAGCACTTGGGGAATTTTTTTCTGATTACAAAAATATGTATAATCATCTAAAAAACGTAAGCACTGCAGAAAAGTATAAAGAAAGCACAAGCACCCAAAAGCCAACCCCTTCAAGGTACAATGATTCTTTTATTGTGGGTTTCTAATTAAGATTAATGCACAAATTATGTGGTTTAAGTAGATATTGTCTTTAAATGTTCACTTTTTTTTTGAGTCAGAGTCTCACTCTGTTGCCCAAGCTAGAGTGTAATGGCACAATCACGGCTCACCACAGCCTCGACTTTCTAGACTCAGGTGATTCCCCCCTGCCTCAGCCTCCCAGGTAGCTGGGACTACAGGCCTGCACCACCACACTGTGGCACAATCACAGCTCACCACAGCCTTGAACTCCTGGGTTGAAGGGATCCACTGTCCTCAGCATCCCCAGTAGCTAGACTACAGGTGCACACCATCACTGTCAGCTAATTTTTTGATTTATTTAGAAACAATGTCTCGATATGTTTCACAGGCTGGTCTCAAATTCCTGGACTCAAACAATCCTCCTGCCCCAGCCTTTGAAAGTGCTCGGATTACGGGCTTGAGCCACTGTGCCCAGTCAAATGTTTACTTTTTTTTTTTTTTTTTGAGTTGGAGTCTCACTCTGTCACCCAGACTGGAGTGCAGTGGCCGCTCCCAGCCACCACAGCCTTGACCTGCTGGGCTCCGGCGATCCTTCCACCTCAGTCTTCCGAGTAGCCGGAATTACAGGTGCGCGCTACCACGCCCGGCTGATTTTTAGATTTATTATAGAGATGAGGTTTCGCTGCCCAGTCGGGTCTCGAACCCACGGGCATAGGCAATCCACTCACCTCAGCCTCCCAAAGGCGCAGGATTACAGACTGAGCCACTGAGCCCGGCTCAAATGTTTACTTTTAACTAACCTGTATAACAAGTAAATGTTTCCAATACTGTGGATCTCCAAAAATATCCTTAAAACCTCATATAAACATGAAATTTTTTAAAGGTTGAGTGGCCTTCCTCCTGCCACTCTCATTATTCCTAGTGTTTGAAAAGTGGGCTTTAAAAATTCTTCCAACTGGAAGAATTTTTTATCCACCCATCACACTCATTATTAACAATTAGAATTTAATGTGAGTTTTCCCTCAGATATTAACATAACTCCATGCTTTCAAAACAATTATGTAGAAACTTACATTTGTGAAATAGTTAATAACTATCAGCCGAGCTCGGTGGCCCAGCCTGTAACCCCAGCACTTTGGGAGACCAAGGCAAGTGGATTGCCTGAGCCCGCGGGTTCAAGACTAGGCTGGGCAACTTGGTGAGACTTTGTCTCTACAATAAAATCAAAACTTAGCCAGGTGTGCTGGTGCGTGCCTATAGTTCTGGCTACTTGGAAGGCTGAGGCAGAAGGATCGCCAGAGCCCAGCAGGTCGACACTGTGGTGGCCATGAGCGTGCCACTGCACTCCTGCCTGGGTGACAGAGTGAGACGCCAACCCAAATAAATAAACAAATAAATAAACAGCAAACAAATAACTATTTTCCATAATTCAGTTATTTATCAAATATGTGCCAGGCAGCTGACTAGTTGCTGGAGACAGCAATGAACAAGATAGGCAAAGTCCCCGGTCTCAGAAAACTTTGGTTTTTGTTTCTTTGTATTTTTGTTGTTGTTGTTGTTGTTTTAACCCAAGCTATGTGAAGTAAATCAACATTACCATCCCCTGAAGTTAAAAATAATAATAAAGGGCCAGGCATGATGGTTCACACCTGAAAACCCAGCACTTTGGGAAGACGAGACAGGCGCATCATTTGAGCCCAGGAGTTTGAGACCAGCCTGGGCAACATAGTGAGACCTCGTCTCTACAAAAATACCAAAAAAATTAGCCAGGAATGGTGGTACATGCCTGTAGTTCCAACTACTCAGGAGGCAGAGGCAGAAGGATCGCCTGAGCCCAGGAGGTCGAGGGAGTAGTGAGCTGTGATCGTGATCTTGCACTCCAATCTGGCCAACAGAGTGAGACCCCGACTCAATACTAATAATAATAATATAATGGAGGACTTGGGAAGAAAAATGTGGGAACACGGCCACAGATACTAAAGAAAAATGACAAAACATCTGGAGAAGATTTTTGTCTAGACTTCGAAGGCAGATGTAGATTGCCCCCCAACTTTCTGGCCACATCTGTTTAGGTCTATCTTTGCCTCTTCCATGAAATGCTGACCTTCCTCCCCGCTAGGCAGTGGGATGACCACATGCTGAGTGACGCCTGCCGGTTGGTCCTGGATGAGATTCGCATCCCCCCTACGGCTGAGGGTGGCATGGTGGAATACAGGCGTGCCCTCCTCATCAGTCTTCTCTTCAAATTCTACCTCAAAGTGAGACGAGGACTGAATAAGATGGTAAATGGCATCTCTGGATCCCAGGCGCCTTGACATGCTGGGCTTGGCTCATGATGGACTTCCCCTCCTGCCTTCGAGAAGGCGAATGTGCTGAGGCTGGTCCCCCAGCACCTCCTTCCAGGCCTCCTCCCTTTTCCTGCCCCTACTCCTGGGTTGGGAAGGGAACAACTTTGTTATTCCATTTGCCCTAAAATCTGTGTGACAAATGCTGATATGGAATATTTGCTTGACCTGCAATAGTAAAAAGCCTTCAGTCAGTAGACTGTAATATCTTTTCCTTTTTTAAAAAACATTTTCTTATTAAAATATGACTTTAATGTTTAGAAAATGTGAATGAGGGCCTAAAACAGTGGCTCATCACTGTAATCCGAGCACTTTGGAAGGCCAAGGCGGGAGGATTGCTTGAGGTCAGGGGTTCAAGACCAGCCTAGGCAACATAGCAAGACTCATCTTTACAAAACAGAAAAAACAAATGAGCCAGACATGGTGGTGTGCACCTATAGTCCCAGCTATTCAGGAGCCTGAGGCAGGAGGATACCTCGAGCCTAGGAGCTGGAGACTGCAGTGAGCTATGATTACACCACTGCACTTCAACTCTAGCGACACAGAAAGACCCCGTCTCCTTAAAAAAAGATAAAGAAAGAAAGAAAAGAGGTTTAAAGTAACTTCCACAGTGTTGTTTCTCAGAATATGATCCATGACTGTGAATGACCCCTTGATAAGCACAAGGTGACCCAAAAATGGCAGACAAATGACTATGCCCCACATTTCTTCTATGACTGAGAGCTTAGCTCTTTTAGCTTAGACAGTCTTTTTTAGTTATTTTGTTGACATTATTTATTATTATTATTTCCATTTTACTATAACCTATTATGTATTCTATTATGTGTAATACAAAATATGTAGTATGTAAATATGTAATTAACATATATTTAACAGATTAAATGTAAATATATTATATTACATATTACATTCTATTGTGTTATATACTCTATCATTGTAGAAGAGATAAAAATATAAAGTAGCATTTTTTAAATCAACTGTGTTCCAATAATCCTACCCTAACCATTATTAACATTTTGGAATGCATATGTTTATATTTTTCTTTTTTTAACAAAATATGGGATTATACTATACATAAACTGGTATAACCCTTTTTTGCAATATCAATAAATACATTTGAGCAAAATAATTTTTCATGACTGCAGAAGATTGTATTAGGTGTACCATAACTTGTCTAGCAAGTCCCTGTTGTTAAATATTTAGTTGAATTCTAGTTTCTTTTTTTTATTTTTATTTTAAAGATGTGGGGTACAATTCAAGATTAGGTATACAAGTGGTCATCATGCAGGTAATAATTTCTTTACTATCACAAATAATTTTCAAGTGAATGTCCTTGTATATTAATCTTTGTCTACTCTCTCAATTGTCTTTGAGACACACACCCACAAGATCGGCCCAGATTTGGAAGCACAGTCTCCATTTAGAAGTGTAATAGTTCCACTCATTTGAGAGAGACTCGCTTGGAAAATACATAGTTCTACTCATTTAAAGGGAGCCTTTGTCGTGGAGGGAAGCCTTTACTGCCTGGAAATAACATTCACTTTTCTGTGCACATGAGTGGATGTAGTTATTCTCTGAGCAAGGACTACCAGCCTAGAAAACTTGAAAGTCAGGGCTTTCTCCCAACGGAACTGGAATCTGATATCTGGAAGAGTTGATTGGATAAACTTATTCCTAAACGTATTTTCCAAGCCGCTCACTCAGCATGTAAAAGACAGTGTGAAATAATCTTCTCTTCAGGATCCCCAGAAGTTTCCTGATATCCCAGAAAAGTTTCTGAGTGCTCTAGAAGATTTCCCCATAGAAGCACCCCAAGGACTGCAGATGTTCCAGGTAAGTGGATAGGGCTTTTTGATTTTTAATCTGCTTATGTGTTACGCATACATCTCCCTCCTTTCAACAAAGGCATGTTTACTACTTGTATAGATAACCTCTGCTTCAACCAACTGATGTTACCTGCTGCTAGGCCCACATGACTTGTGTGGTTTGCTTCTGTGCTTTTGCTCAAGTCTACACAAGAACTGGATTTTGAATCATTCTTCTCCACTATTTTCAGGTGGTTTTTTTTTTTTTTTTCTTAAAATATCCTTCTTTGCTTGGCCAATGTTCATCTTCCCTTGAGCTCTGACTCAACATTTACTGTCTAGAAAGCTTTCCTTGCTTTATCACAACCACTCTGGATCTCCTGAAATGTCTTCTTTGTTGTGGGGAAGGGGTATTATAACCCAAAGATATTCCTTACTGTAGTACCCAGTGGATATTTGTTAACCTTGATTCATGGATATGGGAACCTAATTACCTGTAGTTGTTTTTTTGTTTGTTTGTTTGTTTTTCTGACTCGTGAGTAAACCAGATATATCATACCCAATTTTCCGGGCATGCGAATTTTTGGTGGTAAAATATTTTGCTTTGCTCATTAACAGTGTGTGGACCCCTACCAACCCCCGCAAGATCCCGTTGGACACCCTGTCATGCACCAGTCGGCCATTAAACACTCCACAGGGGAAGCTGTATATATTGATGACATACCCCCCATTGACCAAGAACTCTTCCTGGCTGTAGTCACCAGCACTAGAGCTCATGCGAAGATCATGTAAGGAAATAAAAGAAGTCCCTAAAGTCACTGCAGTGCATCCACTGTTTCATATTCAAAATGAGAACTTATTATATATTTAAATCAATTAAGGATATTCATTTTCAACTGGGCATAGGGACTTACACCTATAATCCTAGCACTTTAGGAAGCTGTGGCAGGAGGATCACTTGAGGCCAGGAGTTCAAAACCAGCCTGGGCAACATAGGAAGACCCCATTCTTTACCCAAAAAAATTGTTTTTGATGTTTTAAGAATATTCATGTCCTTGTCTGGATGAGAAATTGGTCATTTTTTTTATCATAGTCATGAAATACTCTATGGTCAAGAGTTAAACATCTACTAAATACTGCTATTTTTCTTTTTTCTTTTTTTTGAGTTGGAGTCTCACTCTGTCACCCAGACTGGAGTGCAGTGGCACGCTCCCAGCCACCGCAGCCTCAACCTGGTGGGCTCCCGGCGATCCTTCAGCCTCAGCCTTCCAAGTAGCCAGAACCACAGGCGCACGCTACCACGCCCGGCTAGTTTTTTTTTTTTTTTTTTTTGATTTATTGTAGAGATGAGGTCTCGCCAAGTTGCCCGGGCAGATCTCGAACCCATGGGCTTAGGCAGTCCTCTCGCCTCAGCCTCCCAAAGTGCTGGGATTACAGGCTGAGCCACCAAGCCTGGCCATGGTATTTTTCAGTATAGAATATTGCTCCATATATTTACACAGCCATAAAGAAGGACAAAATTATGAACTTTGCAGCAACTTGGATGGACTTAGAATCTATAATACCTAGTGATCTACCACAGAAACAAAGAACTGTGTACCACGTGTTCTCACTCATAAGCGGACCTTGAACAATTATCATAATACTGTAAGAAAGGGATTGGCAGTAGTGGAAAACTGCCAGGGGAGGGGGCACACCTCATCAACAAGGGTACCTGCATAATGAATATTTGTATACCTAACCCTGAATTGTACCCCATACCTTTAAAATTAAAAATTAAAAAAAATATTGCTCCATGATTTAGTTATAAAGTCCATTGTCGTTTTTCCCTGTGTTCAAGGAATGCTTTATATTTTTATGTCGACTTGCTCCTGCAGCTTTAGTGTCGCCCTCCACATTTTGTCTTCTAGATCAATTGATATTTCAGAAGCCCTGGCGCTGCCAGGTGTGGTTGATGTGATAACAGCAGAGGATGTGCCGGGAGACAATAACCATCAGGGAGAGATTCTCTATGCCCAGAATGAGGTATGTGGCTTGTGTGTGGTTCATCATTTAAACACTTTACTGGAAGACCAGAGTGCTTATTAGCTATGACTAGAACATCCATGGATTCGTGTTCATATCACAAAGACTTACTGGGAACCAGTGACCCCACCTCGGTGATTCTCAACTTCTCTCATGAATCGTGGATCTTTTTGAGATTCTGCTAAAAGCCATAATCCTCTCCAGGAATGCTTCTAAAAATTCACGATAGCCATAGAATCGATAAAGAGCGTAAGACACTGAAAGAACCGGCAGAATTTCTGATCACTGTGTGTGCTGTGGGGAAGGTGAGGAGCAGGGATGAAGACAACCAGAAGGCAGATCACTAAAGCCGGATCATTAAGTTCTGCATCCAACACTTGTGCCTCCTAAAGCCTACTCAAGCCACCACTTTAAATGTATTCTCATAGATAAAAAATAATCTTTCTTTTGGTCACAAAAACCCAACAGGTAGATGGAAGAATGTGGGAGCAGTCATTCCTTTTGATTGATTCTACATTTTAGCTCATTACAACACGTGGCTTTTCCACAGGTGATTTGCGTGGGTCAGATAGTCTGCACCGTGGCCGCTGATACCTACGCTCATGCAAAAGAGGCAGCAAAAAAAGTGAAGATCGCCTACGAAGATATCGAGCCACGGATTATCACAATAGAGGTAGGCAGACACCTTGTGTCTTCTAGAATGACCAGAGTGGTGTACTTTGGGCAGAATTAAATCCACAGAGTCATAAATAGAAGAAACTGGACTCTGTCATACTCTGCTCAGTGTCACCTGTAGTTTTAGAGTGAAGGCTCTCGCAACCTGCCCCTCATGACAGAAGACTGAAACCTTTCTGCTTAGACCTCTCATTCCCACCAGTGCCTCCCTGGAAATGAAGCATCTGGTGCCCACCACTCCCATAGTCTCTTGTAAGGCTTGGCTTAAGACACAGATAAGCAACATCAGAGAAATGTCCTTACCACATATACAAAACTTGTCAGTGGAAAAGAAATCTAAGAACGCTGTGGAATTCATAAAAATTTTAACATTTACTGTATTACAAACCTTGGATCCTCTGTCCTCCTGCCCACTTAATGGCTTAAGCACAGGCTCTGGAAACAGACTACATGGATTCATAATCTTTTTTTGAGTAAGAGTCTTACTCTGTTGCCCAGGCTGGAGTGCAGTGACACGCTCGCAGCCACTGTAGCCTCGACCTGCCAGGCTCAGGTGATCCTTCCACCTCAGCCTTCCAAGTAGCTGGGATTATAGACATGTGCCACCATGTCCAGCTACTTTTTTGATTATTATAGAGGTGAGGTCTCGCCATGTTTCCCAGGCTGGTCTCAAGCTCTTGGGCTCAAGCAATCCTTCTGCCTCTGCCTCCCAAAATGCTGGGATTACAGGCATGAGCCACGATACCTGGCCTGTGTTCATAATCTGATTCTGCCATCTAATAGCTTTTCATAGCAACAAAAGTTTGGCAAATTAAACTTCTCATACCTCAGTTTCCCTGTCTGTAAAATGGGAACCATAAAAGCACCTACACCAAAAGGTCGTTGTAAGATTCAGTGAAAGATTCCAAGTAAAATGCTTTAAATGACACCTGGGCCAGAGAGGCACTGAGTAAGTGTTAGCTGCCATTTTTGTTTTAATTGTTATCAATTACGGCAAGGACATGTTGTCTTGTGCTTCATGTCTTCAGTGCCTGGCGAAGCTGTAAACCCATAGTCAGGGTTCAATGAACGTGTGTTGGACCATGGAGGGATGGAGGGACAGATGGATTAACAGATGCATGAGCAATATGAACACCAGTACCACCACTCCTCCACCAAGCAGAATTCAGTCTCGAGCATCCTCTTTGAGCATCTGTTTTTCCCAACAGTTGCCAAGTTCAAGTCTTTCCCAGTCATCCTCTAAATGCCCCTTATGTCTGCCCCTTTCTGTTCATTCTCACTTTCACTCCATCCTGCAGCCCAGTCTTCACTGCCTTCTTGTCAGATTTACACAATAACCCCTTGAAGAGGCAGGCTCTTGTCTTCCATTTCAGCCTATCAACCCACCACATTAACCTTTCTAAGCCCCTAGGTTTATCAGGTCACTTTTCCTTTTTAATAGTGTCCTCTTAGGTAAGGAGCAAATTCCTTGGTGTGAAATCAAGGACTTTCACAGTCCTGCCTCAATTCACCTTTCCAAACCCATCTTCCAGTTTCTTAGTTTCTTATAGAAAACATGGCCCCACAGCCAGGCTGGCCTGGTCTTCATTTTGCCCCTTAACTTGGTTTCAACCTCAAATTATTGTTTTATGATGTGCCTTGACTTCAGAAGGTTCTGGGTCCAACTCAGGTTGTCTTCAAGGCGATCTGAGCAGTCCAGAAAACCCCAGCCTCCTCCTTCTTGACTCCACTTTAGTGTAGGTCCCTCACCCCAGAGTCAATACCTAACTACCAAACTGCCTCAAGTCACCACTCTGCGATCCAGAGGCAGGACCATGTTTCTGCACCCTATGTCCCTCTCAGCTCTTCCCTGGAGCACTGAACAGAACCAGTGAGTTGCCAGTGCCTATAACCCATTTGAATCCAGTTTCTGCTGACCCTTCTTGCTGTTCTGGGTCTGGTTTTCTTGGCATGTGAAGATCTGATAGAGTAGAAACATGGAGAATGGGCTCTTGATGGGGTGGAGAAACGGTTTATTAAAATGCAAAAAAAAAAAGTTGTTGTTATTGTTTTGGTTTGTTTGTTTTTCCACTGCAGCAAGCCCTAGAGCACAATTCTTTTCTTTCTGATGAGAAAAAAATTGAGCAAGGAAATGTCGAGCGAGCCTTGAAATTTGTTGACCAAATCATTGAAGGTAAGCAGTCATGGTCAGGAAAGGGAAACTTCTGAAGTTGAAGACTCTAATTTCAGTCATCTGGTTTAGGAAATGTTGAAAATTTAAGGTAGTGTTTCTCTATCCTAGTGTGATTTTTAAATAATAATTTAAAATCTATGAAAAGTTTACAGCCTGGTGAGTTTATATATATATTTGTGTGTGTGTATATATATACACACATACTTATTCAAATACTACCCATGGCAAGATACAGAACATTTCCAGCACCCCAGAAGGCTTCTGTGAGTCCTCTCTTAGTAATGCCCCAAGATATCATTCTCATTTGTATCACTATAAATTGAACTTCATATAAATGGAATCTTATAGTATAATCTCTTTTGGGCCTACTTCTTTTATTTAATGTTATGTATGGCAGATTCATCTATGTTGCTGCATTAATGAGCAGTTCTTTTTCACTGTGTGGTAATATTTCATAATACACATATTCTACAAGTATATATCCATTCTATTATTGATGAACATTTATTTTCAGCTTGAGGCCATTATGAGTCAAGTTTCTATAAACACTATTGTGCTTGCATTTCGCACTTACTTCTAATGGAATAGACACAGAAATGGAATTGCTGCATAATAGCATATTTATATGTTTAAAAGTTAATTCTAAACATTAAAAATAATAAAACTTGTAGCCGGGCTCAGTGGCTCAGCCTGTAATCCCTCGTCTTTGGGAGGCTGAGTGGATTGCCTGAGCCCGCGGGTTCGAGACCAGCCTGGGCAACTTGGCGAGACCTTATCTCTACAGTAAATCAAAAATTAGCCGGGCATGGTAGCATGTGCCTGTAGTTCCGGCTACTTGGAAGGCTGTGGTGGAAGGATCACTGGAGCCCAGAGGGTCAATGCTGGGTGGCCATGAGTGTGCCACTGCACTCCAGCCTGGGCGACAGAGTGAGACTCCAACTCAAAGAAAAAAAAAGTACTAATTACCATTAATTATGATATCATAACCGATTGATTTACTTGCTGATTTATAGGCAGTTTTTCTTTGTTTTTGATTGGTTGCAAATATCTTCTCCCAGCCACGATTTTCACTCTCTTTTTGGTGGCTTTTTTAAAACAAAATGTCTTGATTTTAATAAAGATCAATTTATCTGTCTTTTCTTTAGAGTTAGTGTTTTTGTGCCCATTGGAGAAGTTTTTGCCTGTCCAAAGGTCATGAAAGATATTCCCTTATGTTTTCTCCTAGAATCATCACTGTTTTTGCTTTCTCATTTAGATCTATGAGTCATCTTAAGTTAATTTTTCTGTGTAGCGTGAGATAGGGGTCAAGATTCCATTTTTAAAATGTGGATATTCAATTGATACAGCATAATTTATTGAAGACTATCCTTTCCCTTATTGAATTTCAGTGCAGCATTTATTATTTTTCAGGTGTCTACGTATGTGTGGTTCTATTTCTGAATTCTCTATTATATTCTATTTGTCTGTTTACCTATATTTATGCTAATACTACAGTGTCCAACTTGGTTGTAACTTTATGGTAAGTGTTGAAGTCTAATAATTTAAGGTCTATTTGCTGCTACTTCTTCAGTATGACCTTAGCTATTATAGGTCCTTTGAATTTTTATATAAATCTATCATTAGTTCATTAACACCACCAAAAATAACTTGCTGGGATTTTGGTTGGGATTGCACTGAAACAATATATCAATTTTAGAGAATTTAAATATTAGCATTAAATTTTCTAATCCATGAACTTGGTAGATCTTGCCTTTATTTCATTAATTTCTTTCTGTACTTCTATAATTTTCATTATAGAGATCTTGCACATACTTCCTAATACTTATTCCTAGTATTTGTTGCTTTCTGATACTGTGTTAGATGTTTTTGTTTTTATTGCTTTCATTTATCATAACCAGTTAATATTTGTATAATGGCCTTATATCCAGCAATTTTGCTAAATTCACTTACTACTTCAATAGCCTTGGAGAGTCTTTTGAATTTTCCCTGTACATAATCTTCTTTTTTTTTTTTTTGAGTTGGAGTCTCACTCTGTCGCCCAGAATGGAGTGCAGTGGCCGCTCCCGGCCACCGCAGCCTCACCTGCTGGGCTCCGGCGATCCTTCCGCCTCAGCCTTCCGAGTAGCCAGAATTACAGGCGTGCGCTACCATGCCCAGCTAATTTTTTGATTTTATTGTAGAGATGAGGTCTCGCCTGCCCAGGCGGGTCTCGAACCCGCGGGCTCAGGCAATCCACTCACCTCAGCCTCCCAAAGGCGCAGGATTACAGACTGAGCCACCGAGCCCGGCTGTGTGTACATTATCTTATCATGATAGTTTTGTTTCTTTTCCAATCTCGATACTAGTATGTGTTTGTTTGTTTTTTGAGTTAGTGCACTAGCTAAGACCTAGTTAATATGGTTTTTTTAATATCAATACCTAGATCCCACCCCAGACCAGTGAAATTTGAATCTTGGAGTACAAAGTTAAAGCATTAATATTTTTCTGAAAGTTCTCCAGGTGATTCTGATGTATGGCCAAGGCTGATAATCACAACTGTCTTTAATAAGAGAATCACTTCTGGTTTTTATTAAAATTAAGTAATACGTTTCTTTTTTTTTTTTTTTTTTGAGTTGGAGTCTCACTCTGTCAACCAGACTGGAGTGCAGTGGCCGCTCCCGGCCACTGCAGCCTCGACCTGCTGGGCTCCGGTGATCCTTCCACTTCAGCCTTCCAAGTAGCTGGAACTACAGGCGCGTGCTACCACGCCCGGCTAATTTTTTTTTTTTTTTGAGTTGGAATCTCACTCTGTTGCCCAGACTGGAGTGCAGTGACCGCTCCTGGCCACCGCAGCCTCCACCTGCTGGGCTTCAGCGATCCTTCCGCCTCAGCCTTCTGAGTAGCCGGAATTACAGGAGTGCGCTACCATGCCCGGCTGATTCTTTGATTTCTTGTAGAGATGAGGTCTCGCCAAGTTGCCCAGGTGGGTCTCGAACCCGCGGGCTCAGGCAATCCACTAATTTTTTTTTGATTTGTTGTAGAGATGAGGTCTCACCAAGTTGCCCTGGCGGGGTCGCAAACCTGTGGGGTCAGGCAATCCACTCACCTCAGCCTCCCAAGGCTCGGGATTACAGGCTGAGCCACCGAGCCCGGCTAAGTAATATTTTTCATATCATCTGTTACCAGCTTCTAAATAACTGAAATGGCAAATACAGTAAGCTTTTCTATTTTATTAGAACTTGGAAGAGACTTTTACATTACCTGTTTCCCTTACTCAGGAGTCTGAAACAGGAGGATTGCTTGAGCTCAGGAGTTCAAGGCTGCAGTGAGCTATGATTGCTCCACTGTACTCCAGCCTGGGTGTTTAAGCAGAAAATGCAGACTGCCTCCCAATTATAAAAACAATTCACTACCTCAGAAGAGAAGTTAAACACAGCCAGTAAACTCATGAGAGTTGCTCAGAGATTTAACAGTACCTAAGCCTACCACTCATTAATCATAATTAAATGAGACTGGGCATAGTGACTCATGCCTGTAATCTCAACATATTGGGAGACCAAGGTGGAAGGATTGTTTGATACCAGGAGTTCAGGACCAGCCTGGCAACATAGCAAGACCCTGACTCTACAAAAAAAAAAAAAAAAAAATTATCCAGGTATGGTGACATGTGCCTATAGTCCCAGCTACTTGGGAGGCTGAGGCAAAAGAATCTCCTGAGTTCAGAAGATCAAGGCTGCAGTGAGGCATGATCCTGCCACTGCAGTACTCCAGCCTGGGTGACAGAGTGGAACACTGACTCAAAAAAAATTTTTTTTTTACAGAAACCGTACATTTGAGCTGAAGGCAATTGAGGGACAGCAAACAGAAAAACACTGTCTATCCTTCCCCAATTTATTTAAAGATGGGGCCTCCATTTCCCTTTGTGAAGATGTGAAGGGGCGACTTTAGACTGGTATCAGCCAAGAGATAGCATTGAGAGAAAGCTGCCTAACAAGACTCACTAAAGCAACACTTATCTTCCAGTTTTCTCTGTATATTTATCTTCCTACTTCTTGCCACACCCAGAAGCTCACAAACCCTTTCCTTTGTCCAGTCACTTCTCCAGACACTTACTGTCCTTTGTTAAAATGGTATATAAACATCTAGGTCTAACCACCTCTTTTGAGCTTTTCATTTATTTCTGTGAGCCCCTCCCACATGCTTATAAAATAAACCTTTCTTCAGTTTAAAAAAAAAAAACATTAAAAAGATTGGGGCTTAGATTAAATTTAGTACATACATTCTGAAAGCAGACCTTTTTGGGGGGGAGAAAGCCTTTTTGCATGACTCACCTTCTGTCGTCTCAAGAAATCATCTTAATCCTTTGACTTCTAGCAAGACAATTCATTTATTTTAACAGCACAGGGCTCTTTCAGGTAGTTATAAAGTAAAAATGCTGTCTTCCAGTATTTAAACTAGGACCAAATGCCTGTCTTGGTATAGCCTATAAAATGATGAGGATGTACTGACCAGGCCAAAAGCCTCACATAAACCAGTAAGAGCAAGCCGGTTTTAGGGCAGGAAACAATCCCAGCTGTGCTATTTTAAACCTTTATGCCCTTTAGCAAGTTACTTATCCTCTCTATGACTCATCAATCCTCAATATCACCTAACTGAGGTACATATTATTCTTGCCCCCCCCCTTTTATAGCTGAGGAAATTAGGATTTAATAAATGAAACAAACTCACTGAGCAAGGTGATAGCTGCACCTGGATATGTAGCCAGATTAATCTGTGCTTTCAAGTTCAATACATCGCAAATCTAATCACCTCACTACACAGATGAGTAAACTGAGGCCAAGAAAGTTGAGGTGAATTACCTGGGGTCACTCAGCTGGTTGGGTACAGATAGGGTTAGAAAAAGTGATTTAACCAAGGGATACAAAGTTCAGCTCTCCATGAGCTAAAACGACTCACTGTTAGGCTCAGGTGATCCTTCTGCCTCAGCCTCCTTAGTAGCTGGGACTACAGGTGCATGCCAACATGTCCAGTTAATTTCTTCTAAGAGATGAAGTTTGGCTACCCAGCCTGGACTTGAACTCCTGGCCTCAAGCAATTCTCCCACCTCAGCCTCCCAAATTGCTGGGATTACAGGCATGAGCTGCTGTACCCAGCTGCAAATCACTATAAACAAAATGCCACCAAGAGCTCCTACATGGGAACTTGTGATTACACGTTGTCCTCTGTTTGTGTGTTACAGGTGAGGTCCATGTGGAAGGACAGGAACATTTTTACATGGAAACACAAACGATCCTGGCCATCCCAAAAGAAGAAGATAAAGAAATGGTGTTACACCTTGGAACACAGTTTCCAACCCATGTGCAGGTAACAGGATAGTTTTGAAAAGTGAGACTCCAGACAACCATGTGAGATGAGGCCCTTGTACCCAGGAGCTCCATTGTCAGGACCTTTTCATTCCTGTCGCTCCTATGCCTCGAATTCCCTGTACATCTGACATTAGCTAAAGTTCAGAGTGGAGAAAATGGGGCATATGTGTCTTTAAAGTGGCAGACTTTTCTAAGTGATGGAAATGTGGCTACCTTCCAAAACACAGGGAATGATTCACCTTTCCCTCACAACAATTGGGAGTGTACAACTTCATCTCAGGCGGTCACAGCCTAGCATTAGACTTAAATTTCCCTTTGTGGCTCACGTGTGTTGCTCTTCTGTATGAATGTTCTCATGCATTGGTGGTACATGTATAAGGCATTTGCACTCCCATGACACTTTCAGCCCAGCTTAGTAAGGAGCATGTGAATTCCAGTCCTGTGCTAGTGGTTGAGATATAAGGCATGTTCACACTCAGGGAGGTGAAGAGAATTCTGATATCCCCCTGTCCCAAAATATGGAGGTGTTGGTCCTAGGATAGTGCCAAGCACAAGGGGACACTTAGAACATGACACTGGGGAAAGCAGTTGTGACGAGCATCACTGAGGGGCAAAGTGGGAGCTTTCTGGTGGAACACAGGTGAGCAGACACCTTGAGGTCTTGCAGGCCGGGTGGGGGGGGGTCCCTGGGAGGGAGGAGCCACCAGCTGCCACTCAAGGCTAAGTGAAAGACTGGGGACATTGATTCTGAGCTGGGGTGTGGACGTGGTGTGCATAGTTGCAAGTTTTGAGTGAACAGAGGAAGAGATACAGGCTTTACCCCTAAGCAGCTATGTGACTTCCTGCAAGTTGCTGAGCAATCATCCTTTTCTGTAAATTGAGGAAAGTGATAAAGATCGCCTCTGAGTCCCCTTTTGGCAGTGTGTCTGTGACCCTGGGCTCCAACAGATAACATGTGCATTCCAAAATCACCGCTGTTGCCTACGACCAACACCTCCTGGGCTACAATCGGGGTCCACAACTGCAGACATCTCCCCTGGGTAATGAGGACACTGCACACCCTCAGCCCAGAACAGAGGGCAGCATCAAAAGCCGCCCTACTAAAGGATTTGAGCAGACATTTATCCAAGTAAGACATATGAATGATCAAGAAGCACATGAAAAGATGCTCAGCCCCATTAGTCACTAGGGAAAGGCAAATCAAAACCACACCCACCCCACTAGAATGGTGACCACCAAAAAGACAGATAGTAATAAGAGTTGACAAAGATGTAGAGAAATTGAAACCTTCATACATTGCTAGTGGGCATGAAAAATTCCACAACCACTTTGGAAAACAAAGAGGTGGTTTCTCAGGATGTTAGACACAGACTGAAAATGTAGCCCAGCAATGACACAACTAAGTATCTACCCAAGCAAAATGAAAACATATGTCCACAAAAATGAGTCATGGCAGCATTCCTCATAATAACCAACAATGGAAACAACCCAACCTCCATCAACTGATGAATGAACAAACAAAATAAGGTATATCCATGCAACTGAACATTATGTAGCCATATAAAGGAATGGAGTGCTGATGCATGCTGCAACATACATGAACCTTGAAACACTATGCTAAGCAAAAGAAACCAGTCACAAAAGACTACATGTACGATTCAATTTACATGAAATGTCGGAATAGGCACATCTGTAGAGACAGACAGCATATTAATAGTTACCCAGTGCTGGGAGGTGTGGGGCATGAAGAGGGATTACTTCGTGGATACAAGGTTTCCTTGGGGATATGGAAAATTTTCTAAAATGAGATTGTGATGATGGTTGCACAACTCTAATATAAATATTTGCTGAATTACTGAATTGCTCTTACAGGGCAGCAGGAAGAACACGGATGGGAAGCTAAACTTGTAAATTGTACTTTTGTGGCTTTGGGGTCTTCTGTCTTGCAGGAGTATGTGGCTGTAGCACTGAATGTCCCAAGGAGCAGAATTGCCTGCCACATGAGAAGAGCCGGGGGAGCATTTGGGGGGAAGGTGACCAAGCCCGCTCTGCTCGGAGCTGTCAGTGCCGTGGCTGCCCACAAGTAAGAGGCACCGTGGCAGTTGCTCACGTCAGCAGCCCAAGTTGCATTGACGCCACCAGAGTCCTTTCAGCCTTGCATCTCGGCTGTTTTTTTCAAAGATAGAGTCTCACTCTGTCACCCAGACTGGAGTGCAGTGATGTGATCATAGCTCACTGCAGCCTCCACCTCCTAGGCTCAGGTGATCCCCCTGCCTCAGCCTCCTGAATAGCTGGGACTACAAGGACACGCTACCACACCCAGCTCCTTTTTTATATTTTTGTAGAGATAGGGGCTTGCTATGTTGCCCAGACTTGTCTTGAACTCCTGGTCTCAAGCAATCCTCCTGCCTCCACCTCCCCAAGGGCTGGGATTACAGGCGTGAATCACCCATACCCAGCCATGTCCCAGCTTTCCACTCCAAAAACTTGACCAAGTGGAAGGAACCTGAAAAGAGACATATATTGTCATGAGGTAAACCAGGACTCTGCTGCTCCCTGGGAATATTCACTTAGCCCCTGTGTTACCAGTTGGAAAAATCCAAACATGGGAATAGCCATGACTTTTGTGAACCTTGTAACTACCAAAGTTCACTAAGACATATTCAAGACAAACTCAACTTATTCCAGGTTACCATGACAAAAAGGAAATTGTGAGCTTCTTAGCCCACTGCCACTTTCCAACAACCGAAAAAGCTGTCCTGTAACAGGTTTGCAGGCCCTGGGAACATTCCAGCAGAAACTAAAAAGGCCATTTATGGGCTTTTTGTGAAAGGGGCATCTGCATGCAGGAAGGTGGAGAGCCACAGAGCATCAGGCCTCAGCCCATTAGCCTCAGCGTCCCCCTTAGAGCAAGATCTCAATGCCCCTTTACTATCCTGAAGTGAAATTCATAATAATTAAGCCTATTTTTACAAGTAATTGTGAAATGATCATGCAATTCCTTAGCATCATATTAAAAAGAAATGAAAGGAAAGTAACTAATAACAAAATAATGTATCATCGCAATAGATATATTCTCAGACATGAATAAGCAAGGTAATATTTTTTTTTGAGTCAGGATCTCACTCTGTCACTCAGGCTGGAGTGCAGTGGCACAGATCATGGCTCACCGCAGCCTTGACCTCCCAGATTCAGGTGATCCTTCTGCCTCAGCCCCACCTGAGGAGCTGGGACTACAGGCCTGCGCCACTGAGCTTGGCTAATTTTTTAAATTTTTTTGTAGAGAAATGGTCTCACTACGTTGCCGAGGCTGGTCTCAAATTCCTGAACTCAAGCAAGGCTCCCGCCTCGACCTCACAATGTGCTGGCATCACAAGCATGAACCACTGTGCCGGGCCTGGAATAATAATTTGTTTTAATGTCCCATAAACTTGCAAAATATTGCTTAAGGGATGTCACTACCATAAATAAGCTAGATTATCTCAATGCCCCTTCCCCCTTCTTCATGTTTCTACAACTTTATGGAACCCCCAGCATTTTAACAGTCATTTCCTGCAGGACGGGCCACCCGATCCGCTTCATCCTGGAACGCGGTGATGACATGCTGATAACTGCTGGTCGTCACCCACTCCTCGCAAAGTACAAGGTGAGAGAGAGCAGAAAGTCCAGCCAGCTGCCTAAGACATCATCCTGTGAGCTATCACACTTGAAAGGGGGGGTTGGCTGCCGCCTAAAGCTAGTCCGAACTTTCTGTTGGGAGCGTGTCCACCTTTGGTGCTATCCTTAACATTCCTCAAATGACTGTCAGATCCACTCACGTGCCTAAGCTAAGCATGAATTGACAGCTGTGACCAGGTGTGTTTGCATATGTAATGTGGTAACCCCAAATCTGAGCATATGTAACACGGTAACCCCAAATCTGAGCGAGCTTGCACATAATGTTTACCTATTCCAAAGGAGTCACCCAGAGGTCCAGGAGGGAAAGACCCTGGTTGATTAGAACTTACAGGAGGCACCAATGGCAGCCAGTAGGTGAAGAATCCACATCTCTGGCCAGTATAGCAAGCAGTTTTTTTTTTCTTTGTTTTAAGATATGGGATACAATTCAGGGTTAGCTATACAAACAGCAAACAGTTTTATACTCAAAGCAAACAAGTTAATTATTCAAACTCTTATACAGTGTGTACAATTGCATTGATTAAGAGTGCTGCCTATATTGCTTTCAACATTGCTCGATTACCTGCGTCCCATGACTCATTACTGGGAATGTGCATACCCTTCAGAGACCAGTCTTGACCAGAGGCGAGGCCACTCCCTGAGGGAGGGGACAGGAAGAAGCCAGGTATAGGGGGAATTGTCTGTGTCCAGAAAGTACCTCACAGCATACAGCATGATTGGGTCTATTGAGCAAATTGCCTTCCTTGCTATTGCTTTGCAGATTGGGTTCATGAACAACGGTGTGATCAAAACAGCTGATGTTGAATATTATGTCAATGGTGGGTGCACTCCCGATGAGTCAGAGATGGTAAGTCAGAGATAGACCTTTCCCACAGGCTACCAGTTGAGCTGCACATTCCACGCTTTATTTGCATGAACATTTACCCTACAGATAGAGAAATTCTGCAAAGAGTTTAGGTCAGAGCTAAAATTTAGATACGTGGTTTTGAATATTTGACAGAAGTGAAGTTTTGTTTTGTTTTTGCTTTAATTCAGGTGGTGGAGTTTCTCGTGCTGAAATCTGAAAATGCATACTGTATTCCTAATTTCCGGTGCCGGGGTCGACCTTGCAAAACAAATCTGCCATCCAACACTGCCTTTCGAGGATTCGGGTTCCCACAGGCTACATTGGTTGTCGAGGCCTACATCACTGCCGTGGCAACACAGTGTAACTTACTCCCTGAAGAGGTAATCAGTCAGAGCCCCCTATCAAAATGCCAAGATATAAAACTTCCAGCATATCTTGAGCACTTGCATAGGGCATTATGTCAGGCTCTAAGGGGATTCAAAGAAATAAAGTACAATAGCTGGGCAGGATGGTTCAGGCCTGTAATCCCAGCACTCTGGAAGTTCTAAGGCAAGAGGATCACTTGAGCCCAGGAGTTCGAGACCAGCCTGAGCAATATAGTGAGACCTCATCTCTACAAAAAAAATTTTTAAATAACTGGGCATGGTCGTGCATGCCTGTAGTCCTAGCTACTCGGGGGCTTAAACAGGATTGCTTAAGCCCAGGAGGTCAAAGCTACAGTAAACCATGATCGTGCCACTGCACTCCAGCTTGGGTGACCAAATGAGACCCTGACTAAAAAGAAAAAGAAAAGAAAGAAAGAAAAATAAAGCTCATCATCCATATATTAGTTAGCTTTTGCTGTGTGGTAAGTTGACCACAGAGCTTTGTCCCTTCAAACAGCAGCAGATAGAATCTTTTCTGGTTCTAGGGGTCAGCTGGTCACTTCTCTGATCTGGGCCAGGTCAGCTGGCACTTCTTGGCCCAAAGATCTTCACTGACATGTCTGGTGGTTATTGGGCTGGTTTGTCTAGCAGTTGTCTCAGCTGGGAAGGCTTATGTCACTGCAGGGTTTCTCACCCTCCAGTAAGCTGGCCCCGATTCCTTCTCAAGGAAGTGGTCACAGAACTGCTGAAAAGAGCATGAATGTGGCAAGCCCTAATGTACACACACTTTTTGAGTCTCTGCCTGGCTCAAAATACATATTGTCCCACTGCCCAAAGCAAATCACATGGCCAATCCCAGAATCAGTGTGAAGCCACCGAAGGGAATAGAGAGAAATGATAACGGCCATTTTACCACAATTCAAGACTTTGAGGAGGTAGTTTGGGAAGAGTTACAAATAAGACAATGTTACGTCAGAGCAAAAGGATGTTAAAATGGAGAATTTGTTCTCACCACTAACAAACTTGTGACAGGGCTAATAATGGTTGGGACCTACTATTTATCAGGTTTACTAGGAAGTTAACTGAGATAATACACTTAGTCTATAGTCTAATGTATATGAAATATTCAGCAGTCATTTTATGTATGTATTTATTTGTGACAGGGACTCAATCTGTCACCCAGGCTGGAGTGCAGTGGCACAATACTGGCTCGATGCAGCCTCGACCTCCTGGGCTCAAGCAATCCTTCCGCCTCAGCCCCCTGAGTATCTGGGACTATAGGTGCATTTTAAAAATTTTCTGTAGAGACAAGATCTCGCTATATTGCCCAAGATGGTCTTAAACTCCTGGACTCAAGTAGTCCTCTTGCCTCAGCCTCCCAATTGCTGGAATGACAAGCATAAGCCACTGTACCCAGCCAGTAGTAGTTTCTATTGATATTATTATTATTACAGTTATGTTTCTATAAATACATTTGTACTTGCATGTATAGCCACAAAGTGTTTCCTACTTTTAGAAAGACTGTCGTCATATCAGGCATATAACAAAAGCATATGCATTACATATGGAAGAAGCGTCTATCCTTAACAACCATTTTATTTTGTCATCTTTCAGGTTAAAGAAATAAACATGTACAAGAGAATTAGCAAAACAGCATTCAAGCAGACATTTAATCCAGAGCCCTTGCGAAGATGCTGGAAGGAATGTCTGGAGAAATCTTCCTTCTATGCTAGGAAACTGGCCGCAGAGGAATTTAACAAAAATAATTACTGGAAGAAGAGGGGGCTTGCTGTAGTCCCCATGAAATTTTCCATTGGGATACCCGAGGCCTACTACAACCAGGTGAGATTGGGAGAGACGCCTCAGCACCAAAAGCCCTTTTCCAAACGACTGACTGCCAGAAACAGCAATCATGTGCCACGAGGGCTGGTGCCCTATAGGTAGAGAAGAAATGGGGAAATAGAGTAGGTTTAGGCAAGGGTTGGGGACCAGGATTGCCAGGGCAGACCTGGCAGATCACAGTATTGGGGACACCAGGAAGCAGTCAACAGTAAAGTCCAACTCAGGTGGTTCTGACCTGGGCAGCATGACCCAAACATGAGTATTGGGGTATGGAGTCAAATTCCAATCCAAGAGAAAACCGGAGACAGCAAGAGGATCCCATTCTCTCCTCATTTCCTGGTAAGAGCAGTCGGTTCCTATGAAGACAGTGTTTTCAGAAACACTCGAGAACATATGGAGCTCTGCACTCCACGCAGAAACCTAGAGTTACCATGTTCAGGCTTGGTGACTGTGGGGCCTCCTTTTTAGTTTCCCCATAACCAGTTTTTTGTGGGGTTCAGTGTCTGAGTCTTTTATTTTTTGTCTCTATCCTCATTGATCTCTGAAATGTCCTAATAACCAAATCCATGAAAAGGAGAGAATGCAGACCTCTTCATGGTGTGCAGGAGGTGGGTCCAAGCTTTCTCTTACCAAAACTCTCTCCTGTGCACGCCCCTCCTCAGAGTCCACAGACAAAACCAGAAGCAAAAGGAAAAGAAGTGAGAAGGCCAGGGGCATTGCCCTGCCTTGAGCAGGTGATCGTCTTCCCCCAGGGAGTATTTCTCAAGCACACCCCTTTAAGAAGAAGATTCTTGTGGATTCCTAATAGTTGCTTAAGTTATTTATCTTAATGTCATTTAACTAGGTATAAACACAAAGCAAAGAATAATCTTCTTGTAGCTCTTATGCCATCATAAAACTCAAACAAATTTGCAAAGTAAAAATAATACTAAGCCAGGCTCAGTGGCTCAGCCTGTAATCCCACACTTTGGGAGGCTGAGGTGAGTGGA